CATTATACTTTTTATTGTTTAATTAATTGTTTAAATTGTATAACCTTAACACGATTATTTATCCAAAATACACGGTTTCTTAGTCTATCATGCCTATATTTTGATTTTTTATATAATTTTCTTTTTTGTTAAGTTTCAGAGATTGTCACTCTACAGATATATAAAAATTTGTATGTTGTGACCTTTTTTGACATCCTCTTACATTGACAGTGGAAGGAAAATGGACTAAGTCCTGTAAATAAACGTTAATTTTGGGCAAATAATATATTTTGATGGGTTATGGATAGAAGCGACTGAAGGAGATCATCTCTGCCTCTTGCATGAATTTAATTGGTAATGTTGTACATGTAAACATGTTGAAAATCTCACAAACAGAGCACCTCCATTTGTTTACAACGTTATGTTTCTTACCTTTAGAATTTTTATCCCTAGAGGGGCAGTCTCAGAAGCTTAATAAAAAGTTTGCCAGGCCACCACCTTCTAAATAGAACCTGGCGGTCGCCAAACAACCAGCCAATAATGGCAGTTTACATTAGAACCTTTAATCTTAATGTATTACCTCGAGAGAGAGATGACAATAAATAGTATTAAAACCGAAATACTAGCAATCAAATAAATTCTTTTTTAAATTATATTAATGCACACGAACAGAAAAAAAATATTGATACTTCGGTTATTCATGAATATTTTATATTTTTTTTTCCAATTTACTCAAACCATTTGTGTTTTGATTATTGAACAATACTACTATAAAAAACTATCATGGGAGACCTCATCAATCAGAAATAGACAGACCTTAACGACTGCCATATATGTTTCAGAAAAAAAACAGTTTTAGAAAATGCCCTGGTAGAACCTTACGAAAATAAAATTCGAAATTTTAAAAATCTGTAATCGTGTGACGATGATCAGTCTTTACCGTTTTGGACAAGTTCTCGCTCTGTTACAAACATGTTACTCCCAATGCTTCGATGCATTTGACCCAAAAACTTTCCTCATTAGCAATTACAAAAATTCATCAATGCCTGGTTTTAATCTTTTGACAAATGCTGACATTGCAATGTGCATGATGGTTTGTTTTAAGTTTAAGTTGTGTCGCTCAGTGGATTGGACACAAGAAGAAAATGTATGCCGACTAAACACAAGATTTGTCATCAAGAATGGTGGAAATCTAATGAAGAAAGGCCACACATTTCATGTCGAACGGGAAATATTCCCAAAGGTAAGATGGAGATCTTGAAACATTCAACTAAGAATGAATTTAATGAAATATTTAAAGGGTTTTTATCACGTATCTAAATTTCTTTCAAATGAAACACTATTATATTCCTGAAACATATAATTATCGTTTAACTACGAAATAATTTTGAAAACGGTTGTAATTAGACGATAAAACGCCTGTAATATAGGGTTCTTGAAGTACAAATCTCCACTAATAAGATAGGGGTCACGTGGTCCTGAAACGTCATAGGTGTCAATGGTCAATTAGAACTCGTAAAGCTTATCGTAAGAAAAAATATATTGAATAGATTCTTACTTTAAATAGATAGACTACACATAATGGCTGGCTGAAATTTTGACATCGGCCATATTCCTTTGGTTATGGACGGTCTATATTTTATGTATGAACGTCTAGCAGTGAGAAATAACCGGAAAATATGCCGACATTTGGAGAGGTTACCGAAGACGAAGCCGTTGACAACTCGGGACTTCTACTGAATAGAAGAAATTACTAAAGTTTAGCTTCGTAAATATTTATAAATATGGGAGTTTTAAATTCTCCTTCTTAATTATTTCAATTATTTATATATAAATAAATCCCGAATATCTTGTTCAAGCAGTGTTTATCATACAATAAGAGTGATACTTCTTCAATGGCGCCGTGTGCCATTACGAAATTCACAACATTCCTATTAGATTCTGTGCGACTGTTTAAAATGCCTGTCCAGGAAATGTGGGAAAAAATATTTCGTAAGCCTTTCTTGTGCACAATTGTGGATCTTAAAGCCACAAATTATACCTTACTAGTTGTCAATTATCCAATTATCAATTAATTATTTTCGAACAGGTTTAATAGACGCAACAAATGAGTACTTTTGTATACACAATAAGTACTTCGCTTGACCAGGATTGAAACCTATGACCTCAGAGCAATGGCGCGTAACATCGGCGATGAAAATATGCATATTGAAAAATTCAAATTTGAATCGCTGAAACATCAAAAATATTAATTTCCTAGCAAAGAATTTTAAATATATGATTTAAATAACATGTAAACTTTGTCATATCGAAAAAGTTTTAGATGTGATAAAAACCCTTTAAGTAATCGCAACCCTTAATTCATTTAACTTTAGCATTTGGCGAGCAATTGTCTGAATCATTCCTGTACTGAGGATGAAATATGTATTGCTGGGAAATGTGTTCCTGTTTTAGAAGGTAAGATATTACTTCAAATTTACTTTAGGATGCTTTTAAATTTTCTATTCTTAAATTACACTTTCTTTAGTTAGAAAAAAAATATGTACAAAAATTATTTTATAATGCTTGATAAAGATTGTAATCTTCCAGTTTCTGTTATTTGTTTGTATGAGAATAAAGAGATGAGTTCTTTCATATCAAAGTTTTGTACGTCTAATAATTACTCTGTATAATTGAACAAGCTTGCTTATTACATTAAATAAATCATAAAACGGAAAACCTTTGAAAAATACTTCAATCATACATGTATAACAAATGCAAATTGCAATGGAATTTTCATATTTTCCCAATTAAACTGATAAATATACTTCTAAAAATACTTTCCTATATATCAATTGGGAGACATAAACACAATATGCAGGTGATAGGGATATGTTGCTACAAATACATGATAATTTTCATAGTCAACTGGCACTATTTATTTAGTGATACATAAAAATCACGATCAACCATATATGGTGGTTATGTATCAAAAAAGATTCGGTATGCTGGGTACAATCAAATTCCAGACAAAAAAAAAAAAAAAAAAAACTACCGATAAATAAGCTCATGTTACGAGACTTTCAACAACCTCGTTTTAAGTGAGTATTTTGCATATATAAGTATGAACTGAGCCAGGACGGAATCTTTTCATAGTAACTAACGGTCATAGACTACAAAATTTGACAGCCAGGTAATGTGCATAAACAGATTGTGATATGTTGTACTGTATGAATCTTGTTTCTCAAAATTCGACCAAACAGTAGACTGTGCTTAGAAACAAGGTCATATTCCGATCACTGAGCGAGCGCTCTACCGACTGATCTACCATGAACGTTCAATTTGTTTTTGAAAGATATAAAGGAACAATAATCCATGAAATGTAAATATTTAAGATTAAACCCGAATTACTCTTTCACCCATTCCATGACCAACCACTGCGTTCTATTTAGTCCAATATTTTATTACATATTTAAAAAAAAAAACATTTTTCTTAGAAGTGATGGTTCAAGCTTAAATTCTATTTAAACAATGAAAATCGGGATTAAAGTAAACGAGGACCTTCAAAAACATCGGAGGTGGGATCTGGTGCTATGTAAGAGGAAGCATCCCGTGCTGACCGGTCAAACCCGACGTGCAATCCTTGATGATCAGGAAATACCGGAAAAATTCGTGGAAAATTCAATGTATTAATAACATCCAAACAATTTATATGTAAAACGTCAGTCAGCATTTGACTCAATGATAGGTTATATTTTCTGACAAGGTCATTGTATCGACCATGGAACTTGCAAGATGATGACTACATACGCAACCATTGATATCTTTGTTTCATCAACTTATCAATAGTTTGCTCTTGCGTATCGAATCAACTAAGAGACATAAACCCCATGTGGTGATAAATCGATAAGTTGAAGTCATCATGCTTATCATAAAAGCAATATCCAAATATGAAGTTGGAAAGGAAAAATTTAAGGTGTGTCAGACTCTGGTATTCATGCTCACCGGGATGTATAAATGGAAGTAACTACCGTTGATTGATAATTCGTCGTTTATATATCTGAATGTCGAGTAGAAGGTCACAACAACTGTTTTCTTCTGTAAGATTTTGAATAAATTCTGCTTCATATAAAAGCAAAAAATAGGTCTGCTAATAATAGGGTGCAATTGTACCCATGGGCATATCAACAGATTGTTGGAAGACCTGATCTTCAGAAGCTCAAACATAGTTTTAATATCATTTTCAGAGTACTGATGTGTATGTTTATAATGTAATTCGCATCAAGACTGCAAAATACTTATCTTTATATGAAATGTTAATGATAATAAATTCATACCGTAGCCTTCACAGTAGCTCAGTCGGTAGAGCGCTTGCTCCGTGATCGGAAGGTCGTGTGTTCGAACCACGGCCCCAACTGACCTAAGTCGATAAAAAAGTAGGCAACAACTGTTCTTTCACCAAGCTCTCGGCGCTTTGAAGTGAAACTTGCGGGTCCTTCGGATGAGATCTTAAAATCCTAAGCCCCCTGTCACGGTAACGTTAGCACGATAAAGAACCCTCACTGCTCAATTGCCCTAAGTGTCGAGTAAAAGTCTAAATTTGTAGCCTTTCATTGGTATATGGTGACGTCTCTAGATGAGTGAAAATTCTCAAACGGGAGGTAAAACAAAATACAATCAATCAATCATACAATACATTCTCCAAATAATGTTCATTTTCTTTCAAGATTCTTAATTATGATACACTTTCAATTAATTCCTAATTGAACAGTTTATTTTACTATGACTTGTGACTAGATATTTAACTCTCACGGTTATAACTGCTTTAACTTCAGTTTCTGTAGAATATTGTAAAAAGTCCAAAAGGAAGATTTTCAGTTTTATAGAGCATTAATCAACAAACACACAATAAATATATCAATCTCAAATGAATTTATGTTTTACAAGTTGTGTAACGCAATCAGGTATTAAATTAAATTTATTTTTCTTTTTTAAAACTGAATAGAAAAAATATATAAAGACTGTTCAGATATTGTGAAAAGAGACCCAAGCACGAAAGATCAAGATGGAGTGTACGTTATTTACCCTGACACCCGACGAGAGGTCTACTGTGACATGACGACAGATGGAGGAGGGTGGACGGTGAGTAGTATTTTAGTTTTTGATTGATTGATTGTATATTGTTTTACGTCCAATTCGAGAATTTTTCACTCATATAGAGACGTCACCATATACCGGTGAAGTGCTTCAAATTTTGACCTTTACTCGGCACTCAGGGCCATGAGCAGTGAGGGATCTTTATTGTGCCAACGCCTGCCGTGACACGGGGCCTCGGTTTTTAAGGTCTCATCCGAAGGACCCGCAACTTTCACTTCAAAGTGCCGAGCGCATGGCGAAGGAACAGTTGCTACCTATTTTTTATCGACTTAGGTCAGTTGCGGCCGAGATTCGAACTCACGACCTACCGATCACGGAGCGAGCGCTCTACTGACTGAGCTACCGTGAACGGTGTTTTAGTTTTTGAAAGATTAACGAATACTCAATAAATTTTTTTTTATAAGCTATTTCAACTTCAACTGTAGAAAATCTAAGACAGTTTCAGATGTTAGAGTTTTTCATGAAAACAAATTACACAAAGTATTACCATGATGACTTTATGTCTTTTGCTCAGTATAACTAGAAACCAAATCCACAGCATGAGTACCTAAATAAGGAATAGATTTCGAAACACAACCATAGTTCTTGATTTTAACATTAACCAAACATGGAGGGACGAAACCTGAAATAACAACAAAGGGCAGTTGAATTTTCTGATTTTTCATGCATGTTTCAAGATTGCATGATCTAACTCCGGGGGTTTATTTTTTACCCTGTTCACGATTTATATTGTTTCTAAGAGATCGATCAGTATTTGTTATCTTCATCTTTTTCATTTTCTGAAAGCTCAAGGGAGTCAGAAAGTCAAAGTTTAAGCTATGATTTCAATTATGATTAATCATACGTTTGTGGTCCACAACCCAGAGTTTTGAATTTGCCGATGAAATTTTGGATATGCATGTATTCTTGTAATACTTTTTTGTAGACTACTTAATCCACAAATAATCATTGTTTTCCATCCATGATCGAGAGGATACAAGTTCATTGTATTGAGCTATAAAATGTACGAACTCATTGTTCTTATTTTTTTAAAGTTAATTTACCTTGTTCTTTGCTAGTCATGTGCTTTTTCCACTCCAACTTGCTCTACATTTGAAAAGATAAAATTATTAATATTCCTTATATTCAATGCCTTGAAGCTCTCGTTGGTTATTTCCGTACTTTAGTACTCTGTTCATATTGTCGCCCGCGTGGCGCAGTGGTTAGAGCGTTCGCTCTAGAGTCGCGGCGTAAGGAGTTGATCCTTATGTCGCGGCTTCGAATCCCACTGTGGGACGTGGAGACCGGTCCTTCGGATGAGACCGTATAAACCGAGGTCCCCTGTTGCAGTAGGTGCTGGCACGAAAAAGATCCCTCACTGCTCAATGGCTGTAAGTGCCGAGTATAGGACAAAATTTGCAGCTCTCCATCGGCAAGTGGTGGCGTCTCCATATGAGTGAAAAATTCTCGAGAGGGACGTTAAACAACATACAAACAAACAAACAAAATCTGTTCATATTACGTGTATAAACTGTTTTAATACTACCATTTTAATAGGTTTTTCAGAAAAGAATAGATGGGTCGACTGATTTTTATCGGATTTGGGAAGAGTACAAACATGGTTTTGGGGATCCAAGGAATAACTACTGGATAGGTAAGAATCACGAATTTATAAGATTACATCATGCAAGGGAAATCACTGAATGTTAAGTCCTTAGGGCTTGTATCCTTGATAAAGGTTGATAGCTTTGAGTTACAATCACGCAGCACAGTTAAGGCTGCAGAAAGGAGGCGGGGCCTAATTTATACGGGAAATGCTTATTATGACATCACACAAAAATATAAGTTCTTCAAATTACCACAAAATGAAATGATTTGCTATTTTAAACTGTTGAATAGCTTTAAACTACATCAATACTTACTAGCGCATGCATTTTTGTCGTTGGTTAAATCCCACAGAGCAATATAAAAACAATTCACTGATCGCAATGCACTTGTCAATGTGACGTCATATCGTAAAATTTGACGCAGTTTGTATGCAGTGAGAGGCGGATCAAGTTATATTTATACAATGAAAAATGTATTTTGTAATTAAATGAAATACAAACTGTAGATATATAAGAGGCCATTAACTTAGATGCGATGTCTATTTTATCATTTTATTCATATACTTCATGCATATTCCCTAGACAAGCAATACTGTCGTATATTTGTATGCAGATTCATTGAAAGGTAATAGAAGGGTCGTCATAAATCGATATATTGCAAGGGCATACCTTCAATGAATTATGACAAGCTTTTACACATAAACTCAAGAAGTATGAAGATATTTGGAAAATGCTGCGAACCTGTTGAAATCTTGCAAATGAATTAATTATAGCTATATTTAATGTACTTGACCAGCAAAATATTCAACATACGGTCTAACAAATGTAATTTTAGCAATTGGATAGTAGAATCTATATATAGTTTCGCAGCACTTTTCACAAACTACAAAGAGTGTTGAAGATAATTATATGTTAAACTTAGATTTTTAACTTGGTTATGACCTTGCAATATTAGAATTTATAGATGACCTCAATACTTCAGGTATATTTGCTAAAATCACGTGACTGCCGCATCACGTGACAAGTCTAAATAAGAAATCTAATCGTCCTCCACATGTAGTTTTCAACCACATTGCATTTGTCCGATAATACTAAAGTCATAAAAAGAAGCGCCCGTCCTTGTAAAGAATGTATTTTCTATCTAAAAAAATCGCCGATGTTTCCATTTGGCACCTTAACTGTACTGCGCACTTTAATTTGGGTCTTAGACGGTGCAGAACCAGGTAATTGCACAAACAGTTGAGTTGTATCTGTGTAGCTTGCAAGTATGCAGGCAAAAAGTCCGCATACCAAAGCTCTTCCATATAGAACAAGTGGAGGTGTTCGCACACTTGCCAAGCATTAATAATCCCCAAACTTGTCACTAATAGTAGGTTCTGCACTGCCAGGAAAATCCAACATAATTGCAAGCGCACTGGCACCGTAATCATTATGGGCTTCTACGCATTTGGACTTGGACAGGGGTAAGGAGCGATGATCGCAGACTTGTCCGTATAGAGATATCAAGAGGAGGGAAGACGAGAAAACGGACACTCTTCCAGTAACAGGAAGGGATGGCTGCACATACATTTTTATGGCTATATTATAGAAGCATGAAAATCCACATTTTGTACATATTTGAGAGTTTTTTTCAGCTAGAACTGATCTAAGACACTTGTCAGAATATTTCCTATTACGATAACGATCACTAATTAAGCGCAAAAGTCCGATTCAACAACACGAATGATTTCGTACTTTATTGTCAGTAACAAAATAATGTAAGAAAAATACCAAGTATGCACCAAATTGGCAGTCATTAATTTAACTAAGAGATGATACGATAATTCTTTAAAAGTTTACTTCCAATTGAAGTACATACAATAAATGAGTTGAAAAACAAGAGGAGTTCTCTGCATTTATAGTGAGAAGAACAAGTGCTCTTGCGTTAAATTATGAAGGACACTTCGACGAGAAAGGTAGAGAGAGAGAACGTTCATGGGTGAGGCCTTTAGCACAAAAAGCTGTTAGATTTAAATAGGATCCCTCTTGAAATTCCAATAATCTTCTTTAATACCCCACTTATGTGGGATGCAAGAGGTGGGTAGAATAGCTATGCGCATCTTTGGCAGAACAAAAATTCTTTTACACTACATTGAAATTGAAAAATTCTTTTACTCTACATTGATTACATTGACGCCAAGGTTGTCAATAAACTATATAAAGTTGGTCCCTTGGTCAGATCGAAAAAGTTTAACATGGTAAGTTTGCGTGGAGACCGACTTCCGGTCACGTAATGTGCTGAAGTGTTTTTTTTTTTTTTTTTCAGCTTCGTTTTTGTTTGTTTGTATGATGTTTAACATCCCTCTCGAGAATTTTTCACTCATATGGAGACGCCACCACTTGCCGGTGGAGAGCCGCAAATTTTGTCCTATACTCGGCCATTGAGCAGTGAGGGATCTTTTTCGTGGCAGCACCTACTGCGACACGGGACCTCGGTTTATACGGTCTCTTCCGAAGGACCGGTCTCCATGTCCCACAATGGGATTCGAACCCCGCGACATAAGGATCAACTCCTTACTCCGCGACTCTAGACCAGACGCTCTTACCACTGCGCCACGCGGGCTTCAGCTTCGTTGTTAGTTTTTTTAAATTTCTCCTTTCTAATTTTTTGAGATTTCTGAAATAGTTAGAAACTCTCCAGATTGTGAAAATTAACTATAGGTAACTATAAACGTGATTTCCAAACGTTTCTATTGTAGAGAAACGGAGATTATCAATTGTTCTCGTGCCATTAACCAAGAGTAGTCGATCATAATGCAGGGAGACAGTAAAAAAATAGAGAGCAAGGGTACTCAGAAAAAAAATCTAGATGTTTTGAATTTTTGTTTTTCAGAAAAAAAAGATATTAAATTGTGTGTTTGCAAGACATCCATTTTACAACAGAAATTGCAAATACAGAGAAGCACAATGGGGTTTCAAAATTTAATGTTCATTTAATTCTTTTAAATCAAATCCAAGAGGGGTTGCTGTAATGTTTAAAAGCAACTTTGAAATTAAAGTACACAATGTAAAAAGATTTAATATTACAAATTTACTGGCATTAGACTTCACAGTTGAAGATAATAGAAGTACTATCAAAACATATATGGTCCTAGTTCTGATGATCCAGACTATTATAACATGGTTAGAGAAACTTTTACCGGTTTTTAATAATTAAATTTGTCATTTTGTGGTGGCTTTAATCTGGCCTCCAGGAGAAATAACACAAGCAAACTTTTTTCTTCCAAAAAGTCAAATATCTTTGCTGAAATATGTGCCTCTCTCACTTAGTGATTTTCGTTAAGTTAAACCATCTTAATGTTTGGCCAAGTCACATAATTGTGTGAAAAGTGCAGAAATGCACGTTTACAGCTCAGCATATTTTTTGAGAAGTTTTTGAAATGCATGAAATTTTATTATTGCAAAGTTTCTGGGGATATTTTTCAGAGTGAATTTTAACATTTTACACAGTTAAAATTTCTTAATTACATTTCCATTGAAAGAAATTTTGAAAAAAAGTATTATTGTTACTCTTCTGCTTGGGAGATAAGGAAATTTGTTTGTGATATTTATCTCATACGTGTGGAGGATACAACTCATGAGATAAACACATGCTTTATCCACGGGTAGGTACTTTATCAGTAGCACTTCCGTTTTAACACAATCCCTCGATTCAAGATTCAAATTGATCTAAACTTTGATTTGTGAAAATTCTTGCCATATAATCTAAATGATAGTGAGCAAGAATTTCGTGAAAAAAAGAAAAATTACTCGTATATTTCAATGAAGAGTCAAATTTTATCAAAGTATCGTACTTGTTACTGTGAAGACAGATGTTACTCCTTACCTCCAACCTTAAATCGTTTGAAGGGGGACGTAAGGCCTAGCAGTTAAGTTGGTGGTGCAAGATTGTAAAATTCCTTTGACACTCTTAACAATTCTTTCTTAAATTATACTAAGTATGCCTTATAGGAATTTATGTGTAACTTACCATGAAACTGCAATGATGGATCTACAAGTAGCCAAGCACCCTGAGTACCTCCGTCGTACAAAGAATGATCCCTCGGTCTTTACAACTTTCAGTCAAAAGTTTGTTTGAAATAAATCTCAAACATATTATCACATAAGTTTTCAAAGACGCAAATAGCAAAGATTTTATATTTTGTACATGATCTACTTTCTTTCGACGTTTCAGCATCAACAGTGCGACGTCATCAATATAACTGTGATGAGAATTATTCATACAGTTTCAGAGGGTTTTTTTCAAAGTTTCGTCAAAAGTGAAAATTGTATGAGATAAATAGAACATCTGTAATTGTGTGATTTAATATTTGTTCTATCCAACTTGTTGAAATGGTGTTTATTCGCTCGGCATGCCTCGCGAATATACTCCATTTCAACTCGTTGGATAAAGCAAATATCAAATCAATTAATAAAGATATTCTCTTTGTATCTTTAAACCCATCTTCAGATACTTTTTATTATTGTAGTGTCAGTAACCTAAATGCACTTGGAAAAATGTTAGAGATTATGGAATATCTTCATACTTTTATAGACTACTACTATAGAATTCTAAACACAGATAAAAAAAAAAATATAGACCTTGTTGAAAAAAAGAAATCCATTACAACAAGGCTGCCTCGATTATATCCTTATTTCGGGTAGTCTTTCAAATTTGGTTGAAAACTTTGCTAATAAATTTGGTTACAGGTCTTATCACTCTACAGTCATAATTGAATTAAAATTTAATGCCATCAGAGAGGTCGAGGTCTCTGGAAATTTAATAATAGCTTATTAACAGATAAAACATATGTTGAAAAAGTAAAGGAAACCAAAGAAAAGGTAGTTGCCCAATATTTACATGTTTCTAAAAATGATGACATCCAATCTCATGTTTAAAACGAAGACAGTTTATTTTTTGAAGTCATTCAGATGGAAATTAAGGGGGTAAATATTTCTTATTCATTGTTCAGAAAAAAGAAAGAAAATTTCTGAAAGATCTTTTACACACCAAATTGTCGACGGATTA